ATCTCTAAACATCTCTTGTATCATGTTCAGAATCTCTAACCAGCTCTTGTATCATGTCCACACTCTCTAACCATCTCTTGTATCATGGTGTTCAACCATCCACAGCTTCCTCTAACCATCTCCTGTATAATGTTCAACATCTAACCATCTCCTGTATCATGTCTGTAACAACCCCTAACCATCTCCTGTATCATGTCCACAATCGCTAAACATCTCTTGTATCATGACGTTTTCACAATCTGTAACCAACTCTTATATCATGTCCACAATCTCTAACCATCTCTTTTATCATGTCCACCGTCTCTTACCATCTCTTATATCATGTCTACAGTCTCTGTGGGGGAGCTTGGAGAGGAGTCATGAGAGATGGACTTGGGAGTGCTGCAGAGACAGGTCCTCAGGGGTCCAGGGAGGAAGTCATAGGTGTGTGTGGACGGTGGAGAGGAGAATATGGGATGAAACTATTATGTCGAGCCGCCAAGCTGCAGCCTTGAGAGGACCATCTGAGATGGCGACAGTGTTACCAGACAAGTCTGAAAGGGGGTCACTGATGATGATAAGGGGGAGTGAATACATTAAGGTAAGCGGGGCACTGATATAAATGTTCCCCCTTATTTCAGTAGCCCCTCTGTACCTTAGTGTATTCACTCTACGGAAGGTGGTCTGTGGTCACCAGTGTCTTCCACATCAGAGTTCCCAGCATTCCACCTTAAATCAAAGTCTTCGCAGTTCCCCTTTACATCAGAGTGTGCAGAATTTCCCCTTACAGTGTAAGGGGGAACTCTATGGACCCAGATGTAAAGGGCAATGCAGCAGACCCTGATATAAGTGGGAACTCTGATGTAAATGTGAACACTGTGGACTCTGATGTAAGGAGGAGGGGATGGGCTGTGGTGACTAGAGACCACCTTATTCCAGAGTTCCTCTTTACACAAAACCTGAAGCATTCCCCCTTACATCATGATCCCCAGCGTTCCCCTTTACATCAGAGTTCCCCTTGTACTGTAAGGGGAATCCTGCAGACCTTGATGTAAGGGGGGATCTGTGCTGGGTTATATATAAACCTGACCTTCATGTAAATGGAAAATATGTTTTTTGACTGTCCTTATAACTTAAACACATTGCTAATAGCACTAGCTATATGTTTCTAGCTTAAATTTTGAAATTTGCACTGTTTTGCACTTACAATGGCCATGTTATGTACTTGTTTGCAGTGTTAGTAATAAAATGGATGTGTCAGTAAATTTCATGATTTTGGTCAGTAAAAAATATTTGTTGCTGTTTGTGAATTTTGGGTGTCCTGTCAGTAAATTTCACTTCAGGGGGTTGGCAACACTGGGTGGGACAGAACTCTCAATCCTGTGTCCCGTTCTAAGTAGACGTCTGCAGGTTGTATGTGTCCAGGTGCACACACCCTTTATAAGCCAGGCATGATGAGAGCTCAGGGCAGTTGATGCTATTTCCTGAAGGAGATTGTACCCTATGGTGTCACTGGACTATGAAAGTCGGGGCAGTTACATGAGCCTGGGAGACCAAAAGAGGGGAGACTCAGAAAGCTGAGGCAGCTAGTGAGTCCAGGGGGAGGTGGAGGGAGTCCAGAAGACAGAAGCTTGGGGTTGGAGAACCCTGTTTAAAGGCTAGGAGGTGGCCTTTGCAGTGAAGTGCTGAAATCTACCAGCATGAAGAACTGTGGTCTGAGGGACTAGTATTCATAGCAGTGGTGCTGTGGAAGCGTAGCCAGGTGGGCTAGACTTTTCTTCACTGCATTTTTTTTTTATGCTGAAGAACCCCTGCATGGGGGTTTATAGACTTTGTTTTCAATAAAAGTGGGCTGCCATGCCCTTAAAAACCACTTCAGACTTATGCCAAGTTCACTAAAAATGCATCTACCGCAGTAGCTAATGACCCCCCAGGTCTCAGTGATCAGTGCGCAAATTCAAGAACTGGAATATGCCTGGATTCATCTGACTTTTCCCATAAAAGTCAAACTTAGCTATGCCTTAAAGCTTCCCTATTGGTACTCTAAGGTCCCCATCACACATGAGTGTTTTGTAGCTCAAAGCTTGAAGCTCAAAAACGCTTGAGGAGCAAAAATCAATTATTCTCAAAGGAGATGGTTCACATCTCCACTCCAAGTCTCCTGAAGCTCAAACAAGTTCTGGAGCTTTTTTTTTGGAGCTTAAATTGGGCAGATTTGCTCATTTTTGGAGTATTTTTATTCCCATAGAAATGAATGGAGACGCATGATATGAGTATTTGTCACGTTTTTGCATGATTGACGCTCAAATGAAAAAATGTAATAAAAATAGTAATAATATATAAATAAATAAATGTAAAATAAATAAAATAATTACATAAATATATAAGAATCATCAGAAATAAATTTAAAAAATGAATAAAATGTAATAATAAATAAATAAATAAATACATAATAATTACCCCAAAGCCTAAAAAAAAAAGAATTCAAATTTGAATAATAATAATATTTTGTTTTTTAAGGGTTAGGGGGTTAAGGTTACAGGTTAATTATTATGTATTTATTACTACATAGTATTCATTTATTGTATTTATTTATTATTTATTTATGATTATTTTTATTTATTTGTGTATTTATTTTACATATATTTACTCATTTTTTAATTATTATTATTATTATTATTAACACCCTAACCTTAACAAAAAAAGAATAAATAAATAATAAGAAGACAATAAATAAAATATTAGCCCCTACCCCTACCCCAAACCCTAACCCCTAATTCTAACCTTAACTTCAACCCTTAATTCTAAGCCTAACCTAGCCTTAACTCTAACCAATTGCCCTAAAAAAAAAAAAAAAATACAATAAATGAATAATAATAATGAAAAAATAAATAAAAGCTGATGGAAAAGCTAAAAAAGCTGAAAAACCTAGCAACAAATGATGCAACAGAAGATATTTTTCTCTATCGACCAATTAAAAAAACACCAAAGCTCAAAGATGCCTAAAAATGCTGCATGAAAACGAGTAAAATCATGCAAAAATTGCATCCCAAATTATATATCTGCAGTGTTTACTTGTCTTTCTCCAAAGTTCAGAGTGTCATTTCTCTCTGATGCTTCGTTCCTATGTTGTCAGCATGTGTCACTTCTGAGAAATGGTCCCTGACACATGAGATAAAATAATGAGGGGGAGGGAGCTCAGCACTCAGCTTATCTACTCACAGCTCTGCATGTTCCTTTGCTCCCGTGCAGTGTGTGGAGGGGGGCGTGTCCTTTTCCTCCAATTAGCTCTCACACAGCTTACAAGAGCTCTAACTGCGGCTCCCCGCCGCCTCCTCTGTGACACTGACAGACTAAGAAGGATTTTATCTAAATTCAGCCTTTTTTAAGGGATGTAGAAAAAAGAAGACTGCAGATAAACAAATAGGGCTCCATGTACACTGCAGCTGATAAAGTCACGTTTAGGAGCTTTTCTGCATTTTTTTCAGCAGCCCCTGAACTCTCCCTAATGTTTTCCTATGTGTCCATGTACACATAGTCATTTACAGTCATTTACAGGCAGTTGAGTTTACAGTCATTTTTTTTGAATGCACCAACTCAGGAGTAGATTTTATCAGCGCTTCAAACACCAAACATTTGTAAACGCGGCTAACCGCATTTATAAGCGTTTGCGTTTGGAAACTCTTCCATTTCCAGATGCTGTCCAGAGCCTTTTTTCATAATGAAAAATGCATGCAAAGCGTTTTCCTGGTACTTAAATGGACCTGATACACCATACTTTCAGGTTTCGCATGAAAGAAAGAAATGGACACTGCTGCAATAATTTCTGCACAGAAATGAGCTGGAACACATCCAAACACCACAAGAAAAAAAAAGAAAAGACAGCTAATCTCAACAAATACTGCTCTCTCTGTTTCTGCTCTCTCTATTTCTCTCAAAATGTCTGAAATAGTTAAATTTTTACTGTTTTTAGTGCATTCTGGGCATTTTGGAAGGTCTCCTGAGGTTATCTTTTAAAAATGCTTCTAAACACAAAAGCTCATAAATGCGCATAAACGCGGTATGCAAACTCGACTAAGCAGACGTTTTTTTAACCTACATTTTCCAGCAGTCAGTTTCCATCGTTCAGATGTGTCCCTAGTACATGGAGCCTAAAACGTACATAGGAGAATTTGTTTAATCTCTTTGTATCACCTGAGGCCAGTCACTTCATTGGGTACATGTAAGGGTTTACAACCACTTTAATAACCAATAAGGAAGCTTGGGACAAAGGACAGAGAACCCAAACTACCTTTTTTACAGGACGTTTGAGGTTTTCACATAATCGGCTTAGATCTTTTGATATGTAGTTTTAATCACTTAACTTGCTAATTTGTATATGAACTATGTTTCGGATTTTATTTATATTGTGTAAGTTTCCTTTTGACAGGAATACACAGAGGCCTATTTATAGGACATTTCGTGAACTTGGAAAGCTGAGAGAAGCATTTGCAGCTCTGAATACTTTACACTGCTTAAAATAAAAAGCTTGAGTCCCAAAGCTAAAACTGAAACTGGTATCAAAAGCGACCTAAGTGTTTGTTTATAGCAGCCAAGTGGTGCTAAGTAGTTGTGTGTTACTGTTTTTAAAATGTAATGTTTACTTTTGTTTTCTGTGAATGCCAGTGAACGTGGTTTGGCATACAGATATATACAGTATGGAGCAACAAAGTTTAACATATTGGCGCTGGCCGCACACAAATGTGCAGCCTGTCGGCGTCTGGGCCTTGAAGCCGAGCAACTGCAAATTTGCGTACAATTAAGAAAGTCATATGTGCTGAGAGCGTGCGCCCTGCACGCTCCCAGCGCATATGTCCGGTACTCACAGAAAGGTCTTGATCTCCTCTTGCGATCGGGACCTTTCCCGATCATGTGACCGACGTGACAGCAAATCACAGGGGTCACATGACCCTAAAACCCCACCTCACCTCCCGGCTTCTGAAACCCCTAAAGGGCCAGGAGGCACCAGTGCCAAGGGGTTAAAGTGTTGCTAAACCCACAACAGTAAAATCAGTCTGTATATGCAGTAAAGCATGCTTGTTATACTCACTGTGGAACCTAAGGGGTTAATCCTCTGTATTGTGTAAAAAGGCTGTTTTATCCCATCTTCTCTGCCCCTCCTCTTGTTGAAATGACCACCTGGTACGGACTGAATCTGTAGTCACATCAGGGGCGGACTGACAACTCATGGGGCCCCCGGGCATTAGGGGATCATGGGGCTCCTGTGTCCTTGCCCAAACTCAAAAAAGCATATGAAAAAGGTACCAGGGACATCTCATGGGGCCCCCTACTGACCCCAGGCCCTCGGGCAGTGCCCGAGTTTCCAAATGGTCAGTCCGCCCCTGCGTCACATGCACATGTTCAGTTTGGTGTGTATTGCTTGAGAGGTTTTTCTTTTCTTGGGAAAGTGCATGTGACCAACACAGGGCCAATCAGCACTGTCCAGACAGAGGGTCAGAGGTTTCACATCCTCCTAGAGCATAAAAAAAACTCCTCCTACAATCTTTAACCAGTGCTCTGCTGAAGTCACAAGACTGTTCTAACTGCTGATGAGAAAAGATAATTAGCAGTTTGTATTTACTAAAATAATTGTATTTCCATGTTCTGTGTACTGTGGGAGACCAGATATAGTGAATGCAGGGTCCGGGGTTTAGTATCACTGTAATTTGTGTCTTCTAATAAAAGGAATAAGGCCTCATGCTTACTGCAGACTTTTTTTTTTCTCCCTGTAAAGGCCCCTCCATGTTACCCCATATGTCTATGCACATAGAGGCAGTAGCATTTAGAGGCGAAAAAACAATCACTTGTGCATTCAGGAGAGGAGCATTTGGGCAGAAAAAAAAATGTGCAAACTCACATAAGCACACATAAACGTGCATTAACATTAGGCGCTATTAGGCACATGGGAACGCAGGCCGCATTTTTTCTCCCTCTCCCGAATACCCAATATATAATTATCAAAATAAATACACACAATCTTTAATGGCACAATTTTGGCCGCAGCACTTTATTGGTTTAAATAAATAAATAATTAAAAATACTATAAATAATTAATTAATAATCAAGTTTATACTTCTCTTATCATATAACAATCAAATAGCTCAGTCGTTAAGGACTCAAGCTCAAACTGAATAAATATAACAACAGCCCCCCCTTTAAATGTAAAGGGTGACAATATCACATAACGTGCCTTGTGACAAAAAGGGGAGGGGGGGAGGGAGCTCGTTGCACTGACACGGACCAGCTGGCAATCTCCTGCCAACAGAGCTCCTTTATATAATGAGCCCCACTTTCTAGAACTTTCCACTAGTCATGTGACCTTCTGGAATTTTATCCCAGGTCATGTGCTACTCATTTTTCCGCCCAAACTCTCTTTAAAATTTAAAGGCACAGTAACCTTATATATATGTATATACATATCTAATTTTTTTTTTAATGAAAAGAGGGAGGGGCAGCTGCCTACCCATTTTATTGGGCCAAAATGATTGAGACCTCGTAATGCATTAGCATGTTAATGTATTCTAATGACCAGAATAAATTCATATTCTGGCCTATAGAATGCATTTAATGCTGAACGCGCATAAACACTTGTGCAAAATGTGTCTTTTACTGCATTTCTTTAACCTCTTCACGCCGAGCGCGCGCAAATGTGCAGCCTCTCGGCATCTGGTCCTTGATGCCGAACAGCCGCACATTTGCGTGCAAATAAAAAACCATGTGCTGAGAGCGCGCGCTCTGCGTGCTCCCAGCACACATGTCCGTTACTCACAGGAAGGTCCCGATCTCCTCTTGTGATCGGGACCTTTACAGATCATGTTACTGCCGTGACAGCGAATGACGGCAGTCACATGACCTAAAAAACCCCGCCCTGCCTCCCGGTTTCAGAAACACCTAAAGGGCCGGGAGGCACTGGTGACAATGGGTTAAGCTATGTTACTCCTGGAAGGAATAAAGTCTAAAAGGTAGAACAAAGAAGAGTTAATTAAACAGTTAACAGCAGTTACTTAAAACAGCTTTCACTTTGTAATGGTTAAATTCATGAGATATACACTCCAATGTATTGTCCACTAGTGATGTAAATGTGCTCTATGACACAAATGGGTGCATATAACTTATAACAGATTTAGGACAGTCACATGGTCAGTAAGGTATTTGTAATGACTGTGGAATGATATTACACACTATGCACATATAGTCTTGATCCATGTTTATGTCATGGAGAATAAATACATGGGTAGTTTCCAGCTGACATTTAATTTAATTACCCTGGCATTATTATGAGTACATCTATAATTAACTTGAACAAATGGGTCCTGAGGTCATTTTCTAATCTGAAGGGCTCATTCACAGCTATAGAGCTTAGAGTGGAGCACAGCTGCTCTATGGGACGATAGTCATGTTCTTTGTTTAATAAAAAAAGATTTATGTTATCCTTACTATAAGCTTTGCACCTCTCAGACCATTAGCGGAGTTTCACAAAAGTGTTGACTGTAAATGGAACTCCAGGTAACCAGCAAAATACATAAAGGAAATACATATACTACCTATCTTACGATCTGGGCTACTATACAGCTTCTTATTGCACCTCACCACTCAACGAACAGTAAACAGTTCCATCACACAACTAATTCATTGCCCATTTAGCAAGTAAGTGACACACAAAACTGTAAAGCTTAAATGGTGGTGTCATCTGCCTGGCTACTCAGTGTGGTAGTAGTGTGTGAGTCACGAGACTAGCTGAAACAGATTTACAAATTCTTTAGCAAGTAAAACAGTTTACACACATAAGGGACAATTCACTAACTGGTATCTTACTACATCCGAGAATGCAGTAAGATACTGCATAGCATCTTAAAAAAAAAAAAAAAACATTTGCATTCACTAAAAAAAGCTACTGAAATAGCGCATTCGTTTTTTTATTAAAGCGGAGTTCTACCCAAAAGGGGAAGTTCCACTTTAAAGACTGTTCCCCCGCTCCCCGTTAAGGATTGGCACCTTTGGAGAGCGGGTACCCGAAATTGACAGGTACCCGCACCCACTTCCACTGCGATCGCCTAGGCGATAGGAAGTGGAAGTTGTCCTCCTATCCTCCCTCCCCATAGTCTTCTGGGACATGTGACAGGTCCCAGAAGACTACGGGGCCATTCAGGAAGCGCAGCGCTCCTCACGCTTGCTCAATGCACAAAGTCGCATCTGTCACAGCCGGGTGCCCACACTGAAGATGCCGGCGCTGGTGAAACAGGCTGTCGGGAGGACACCACGGGACCGAGGGACAGGTAAGTGGCTGTTTTTTTAAAAGTTAGCAACTACAGATTTTGTAGCTGCTGACTTTTATTATTTTACAGTGTGAGTGGAACTTCGCTTTAAGCCATGCTGTATTTTAGTAGTGAAAGCATGCGGTAATGTATCAGCTGTCAGCGGAGTCCGTCACGGGGGCCCCCTCCCCCACATCCACACCAAGCCCTTCAGGTCTGGTGTCGATTTTGGGTGGTGCCCTCACCATTTTGTTTTTGGGTGTGGATTCCCCTCAAAATCCATACTAGACCCAAAGGGCTTGGTATGGATGGTGGGACCCCATGCCATGTTTTTGCTAAATTTTTAAATTCTGCCATTTTCTTTTTTTTTACATTCAGCTGTCAACCCCTTTGACAGATGATGACTCATGAGGTTGTTAAGGATGCAGCGGCCACCCATTCCTTAACAACCATGATAGTTACTGACAATTACCAGTACATATCGTATGCCTGGACCACTGCTCAGAGGTGTCCCTAGGGTAGGTGTCATTTGGTGCGGTAACACTTGGTGACACCCCCCTCCGATGATCCCCGCAGAATGTATCGGATCTGCGGATTGAGCATAATGGATCAGACTCCGATCCATTATACTCAATCCGCAGATCCGATGCATCCTGCGGGGATCGTCGGCTTTCTTTACAACTTACCTTTTCTTGGAGCGGGTCCGGTGTCACCCCCTGTAGGTTGCATGCCGACGAGGAGCAATACAAAGCAGAATGCTTACATAGTAAAGCAAACACAGACAACACAGTAAAACAGTACACAGCACACAGTTAACCCTTTGATCGCCCCAGATGTTAACCCTTCCTGCCCAGTGCCATTAGTACGTTGTCAGTGCTTTTTATCAGCACTGATCACTGTATTAGAGTCACTGGGGATGTCAGTGGCAGTTAGTCAGTTCCCCCCAGTGTCAAAATGCCTGCCACAGTCCCGCAGTCCCGCTATAAGTCGCTGATCGCCGTCATTACTACTATAAAAAAAAAATTCCAGTATATATACATCGCCATTTGTAGACGCTAACTTTTTCATTTAAACCAATAATTTACATGTATTGGGATTTTTTTTTTAGCAAAGACAAGTAGCAGAATACGTTTTGGCCTAAATTTATGACAAAATTTGATTTTTTTAATTTTTTTTACTGGATATGTTTTATAGCAAAAAGTCAAAATATTGTTGTTTTTTTTTTCAAAATTGTCAGTCTTCTTTTCTTTATAGCTCAAAAAATAAAAAACTCACAGGTGATCAAATACCACCAAATAAAGCTCCATTTGTGGGGAAAAAAGGACATAAATTTCATTTGGGTGCAGCATTGCATGACCGCACAATCGTCAGTTAAAGTAACGCAGCGCAGTATCGCAAAAAATGTCCTATTCAGGAAGAGGGGGGTAAATCCTCTGGAGGGCAAGTGGTTAATTACCGCATGCATTTAATTATTTCTTTCCTTTTGTGCATTTACTTTAAGCTCTTTTTATGTGGTATTTACCGCATGTTTTTGCTATTTTCTGTAAATACTGCATAATGAATTGACATTCTCAGTATCGCATGCGATATGTGGTCACGTGTCCCCATAGATTTGGCATTTAGCTGTTTGCCTAAAGTGCAGATTTATGGTGAACATGAACATATATTTGAACATGCAAAGCAACAGCATAGTTGTCAACATAAAAAAAAAGATCAGGGACAGCCATTGTAGTCAAAGAATGTACTTTAATTAGGAGTGGGGCATTCATTTAAAATGTGTGTGGTTCTAAAAGTGGCATATCATTAAGCTATTTAACTTTAAAATTCTGTATGTAAAGAAAGATTTATCATAATGACAGAAACATAACCACGAAGGTATTATTCCTTTGTAAAATGTATATGTATTTGTTTAGTTAGCTGCAAGTTTTAGGTTGTAAAATCTACCGTATTTTTCGCTCCATAAAACGCACTTTTTTCCCCCCAAAAAAGGGGGAAAATGTCAGTGCGTCTTATGGAGCGAATATGAAATGGTCGGTGCGAATATGAAATGGTCGGTGCAGTATTTCCTCCGCTCAGCTCTTCTCTGCAGCAGGACCTTACCTGTTCCTCGATCCAGCGCTGTAAGTCTTCCTGCGCCAGCATCTTTAGTGTGGGCACCCGGCTGTGACAGCCGGGTGCCCACTGCACATGCGCAAGAAGCGCTGCGCTTTGTGAATGGTCAGGCGTCTTCTGGGAAACATCACAGGACAACTCCGTGGAAGTGGGAGCAGGTACCTGTCAAATTCAGGTGCCCGCTCCCCATCTCTCCCCAAAGGTCCGCAGTCTCTGGTCATCCCCTGTACTGTCTGCAGTCTCTGGTCATCCCCTGTACTGTCTGCAGTCTCTGGTCATCC